CTAAGACAAATTTTCTGTCTCTGTTTAGAGTGACACTCTACTCTGAATTCCTCCCAGTGAAGTCGAGAGGCATCTGCGTCATGCTGATTGCGGTACTGTGGCGATTTTGTCGTTAACGCAGACTTTACTGTATTTCAGTATTGAATCTTTTAACATGATTAAGTACACCGCTCATGAATTCCCACCTGACTGATGTGTTTGTGTGCATCAGGCTTTCTGGGCCGTTGGCTCTGTGTTCGAGGTCCTCCTGGCCCTGTGGGTAATGCCCACTCTCGGCTGGAGGTGGCTGCTCGGCCTGTCCACTTTACCGATGGCAATCTTTGTCTGCTTCTGCTTTGTAAGTATGTTTTGATAGAGACGCCTGAAATAAAAGCAGCTGGAGTCAAACTCTCAGCTGAACTCTCTGTGTTACACAGTGGCTGCCTGAAAGTCCTCGTTTTGACGTGTTGATGGGAAATAGAGAAAAAGCCATGAGAACTCTAACACGCATCGCCAAAGATAACGGCAAAGCCATGCCTCGAGGGGTATTGATTGCTTATAAACAGGTGAGCTTGAAGATGTATTACAGAATATGGAAAAGAAGATAACAATGCTTGATTGTTGATATTAACAGCTCTACCTTTTATTTTTAATCTTACAGAAAGAAAGAGGACAGATCAAAGATCTCTTCACTCCTCAGTATTGGAAGACTACTCTTCTTCTGTGGTTTATATGGTTAGTTTAAGTAACACATTTTCATACTTTGTCCTTTATAATCAGGCATTTTGATGAAAGGTGATTATTTAATCAAGGCTGGATGACCAATAGGGCAAAGCAACTGCCCTGGAGACCTGCAGGTTCACTGTGTGTGTGTTTGTTTGTGGTCAGTTGTTTGGACAAAATGTTTGGAGTATGAACTATTTCATCCCAATGTGAGCTGAAATGATAAGAGCCTTTAGATTATTATGTTATCTTGGCGAGGGGCCATAATATAGTTTTAAGATGTTTGTTCTTTCAGTGGATGTTTTGCTTCAATTGTACATTTCCCTAAATAAATCTTTGTTCAAATTAATCTGACAGACACACAGCAAAACCTGGGGCCAGGGAGAATTATGAAAGTAGTGGCTGGTATGTCGAGCACCAGACAAAATAATAGTCTAGTCTGTTGTGAGCACTGTACATTATGAACAACTGAGAGTGCGAGTGAAAGCAACAGAGGGTCAGAGGGGCCCATAGTTGATGCCCCATTTATTTATTGTTTTATTTTCAATTCCTCACTTAGTTTCAAGAGCACTGCATTATCATTTCATCCAAAGGTTTGCAAATGCCTTCTCCTACTACGGGATAGTACTGTTAACAACTGAGATGTTCCAAAGCAAAGATACATGTGGGGGTAAGTAACATCTACTCCAAGTGAATCAGCCTTTAACCTTTTGTCATAATTCGAGTAAATACCAAAATAATACTGCCCTCATTCCTTACAGCGACCCAAAGCGCCAAGATTGAACCGAGCTGTAGTCTGGAATGCAAATATTTGACGTCGGCTGACTACAAAGACCTTTTATGGACGACCTTGGCTGAATTCCCAGGTGAAATGCTGCGTTTTAGCATCTTCAGGGAGCTGTAGGGTGTAAATTAGCAATGCAAAGACATTTCACGATGCTGTGGCCAAGAGCAGTGTTCAGCCCATCCACAGAGGGTGCCTCCTCATTTCTTCATCATCCATAAATCATCCTGTAACAACGTAGAAACTCCAATGTTGTGACTGATCTGTGTATTTTTTGTTTAACCATGAATCCATGGAAAATAATTGAAACTACAAATTAAGTTTTAATTTACTAAATTACTAATGGTTCAGAAGGAACTCTTAAAACATGGCCACGGATTTCCACCAATCAGCCACAACAATAAAGCAGGTTACTGTTTATAAATCAATATTACATTTATATTTTTAAATGTATGATTTTAACTTTCACGAGGGAACAGGCTTAACGTGTTTTAGTCCTGTTGATAGAAATCCGCTTGCATAGCCACCCAGGCCTGCAGCACTTAGGCCTAAGGAGAGTGAGACACACCAATGTGTTGTTTGAGGGAGTGGCTTAGGAAGCTGAGTTGTACTTCATCCTCAGTGTATCTTTACAGTGACCGACTGCAGCAGTTTGCTGTTTGTTTTTCATGTTTGTTTCAGGTCTTGTAGTTGTCCTTCTGGCAGTTGAGTATATTGGCAGGAAGAAGAGCATGGCAATGTGTTTCTTCATGTTCTCTTTGTGCATTCTGCCTGCGTACGCTTGTATTGGGAGGTAAGTTTGACTCTGTGTGTTTTACTTTGTCCTATCGGAAACAAAAGCAGTTCATTAAGACGCTCTGCTCCACTCTCCTGCGTTTCTCTTTTTGTTCATGTAGGACGGCACTTACGGTCTTCATCTTCATTGCCAGAGCCTTCATCTCTGGGGGATTCCAAGTTGTTTATGTTTACACACCAGAGGTAGGTCTACATACCATTGCACCACTTTTACATAAAACATATTTTCTAACACGTTTAAACAAAATGCTCTCTCCTCTTTTGGCATCAGGTGTTTCCTACAGAAAACCGAGCCTTAGCAATGGGAACCTCCAGTGCGATGGGCAGGGTAGGCGCCCTGATCACTCCCTTTGTTGCACAGGTATGAAGGAGCGGCCATCAATGTTGGTACTCTGCAAAAGAAACTCAAAAACATCTGAGCTAAAACACAGTTAGGACGGGGAAAGTCTATAGACAGTCTGCCTCACTGTTTCTGGAAATATATTTCTTCAAAATTCATGTGTGTGGACAAACCATTTTGTATCTGCAATTTTGATTTCCCTCTTTTTAAGACAATACAATGGTAACAGTCAGAGGATAAACAAAAGCATTAGGATTCATCAACCACAAAATATTCACTGCAAATTTTGTGCAAATCTGACCATGAGTTTGAAACATGATGCCGCGTAACGAGAGGGAATTTTGACCGCACAGTGGTGTCCAACAAAAACACCAGAGGGTCACCAAGATCGTTAGGAATTGTCCTTTGGGAATCATGGGTATTTATATTAAATTTATATTTATACGCTTTATATTTATTTGCATAAAATGTAGCTTTCAGTATTTGGCAGATTGTACTGACATCAGCATCTTGTGCTGCTGCCTGTCACTTAAAGATTAGTGTGTTATATGTGTAACTTTACTGTTAGTGACTGGCAATATGCCGTATCTAATAAAGATGTTCTAATTTTTATTAAATAGCTGGTATACATTGTGAATTCTTATGGTGCTGTATTGCAGGTGTTGATGTAGAAAATATTTTCCAGCAGCGGTCTGATCTCAGTGTTTGTGTCTCGGTTCTAGGTGATGCTCAGAGCATCAGTGTATGTGACCCTGTCGGTGTACCTCGGCTGTTGTCTCCTGGCCGGCGTTGCGTCCTTGATGCTGCCCATTGAGACATTAGGCAGGGGTCTGCAGGAGTCCGGTCTTGACCAGGAGGCCGGAAGGCAGACAACCACCACAACCAGCCAGGCAAATGCTACAGCACCCTCCCCGGACCGATAGATCGACCAGGAGGAATGAAAAAGAAAGAAAAGATGGAAAAGAGAGGACGTTTGGTCACCTCCCAGGATGCTGCAGATGCCGCAGTTGTCTCTTTAACTATGGACTGAATCATCTGAGCGATGATGGGTGAAGAGCAGCAGGGGACAATCTCATTACAGGCAGGGAGTGATAATTGAGGGTAGGCCTACTGCCCATGTCTAATGAGAGCGGAAGCACACTTGTGCTTGGACTGGTTTGTTTATCCTCTCTTCCATTTAGGCCATGAGAACCAACAGAGGGACATTTTGGAAAATGATGATGCGCTTTGCAGACTCTGCTTCGAGCTACACATTTTAAGCCTTACCCTCAAGAGGCTGAGGATTTTATTTTATAAATTTTGCATAAAAATGGCTCCTTGTATTTATTTAGTATGAAGTCATGCACCTTTGGTCCATTAAAGTCGTTCAATCTGCTTTAGGCTTTATTTTGTTTTGTCAGTAAATCTCTGTATTTTAATTTGCACAATAGGAGAGACTTGGTTCTGTTATGGCTCTTATAGCTGATTAATTGTTTGGTCTACAGCTGCAACAATTAGTTGATAAATCGATGCAAAAAAATGAATTGGCGACTATTTGGATAATCAAATAATTGTTATTTTTCTGAAGCAAAATACCAAACATTTGTTTCTTCCACCTTCTCAGATGAAAGGATTTGATGTTTTTATTTGTCGCACATGATAGTAAACTGAACATGTTTTGGTTTTGGACTGTTAGTTAATTATTAATCTGAAGATGAATCAGTCAATAAAATAATCATTAGCTGCAACACTAGACTGACAGAAAGTTAGTTGACTATTATTATATAACTTTATATGAAGCCCAATACTCTTGTTTAATCTTCTGGGATTTGCTGTGTGTCTTCATGTTAACATTATAGTAAATTGATTATTTGGGGGGGCTGAACATTTGGTTGGACAAAACATGACATCACCTTGGACTGTAGGAAATTATGACGTTATTTTCACCGTTTTCTGGTGTCAGGTTGCAGAGACCAAACAATGAATATACGTAATAATAAGCAAATTGATCGATTGTGAAAATAATTGTGAACCTCGCTGCGTTTCATAACATGAACAGAATATGATTTGATCCACATTTGTATTTGGGAGTTCTTCAGTCTGGCCAGTCACCTTGACAACATTGGCCCAATGACAGCGCACACGCGAACTAGGCCAGCCAATCACAGGCAGCCGACAGAGCTGCATGTCATTTCTGCCCCGCTTGCAACCTGCACCGTGTTTTGTTTGTCTGTCTGCGCACCAGCGATGAAATCTCGGGGTCCGTCGCTGGCTCGGTACAAACGGAGGGAGTCTCTCACGACTTCCCGCTCATGAGGACTCCGGTGACCGCAGAGGACGCACGGAGCAGGACCGAAAGGGAGCACCGCCGGGGCTCAGGAGTCAGGTGCTGCTGGATGAGAGTCTGACTAGGCATTTTCTCCCCGGTGACAGAGACAATCTCAGCGGCGCATCTTCCCAGATCCTCCTCCCCTCCCTTCTCCTCCTCTCCTCCTCTTCTGCTGCTGCCCTCCACGGCTGCAGCCCACCGACCATGGCCCTGGTGACTCTGCAGCGCTCTCCCACCCCCAGTGCAGCATCTTCGGCCAGCACGACCAACAGCAGTGCGGGGGAGGTGAGTGGAAAAGCCGGGGCTCGGTCTTTGTGTGCGCGGTATGAGGAAACGCCGAGAATGCGCCTGAATGAGTCCGTATCAATACAACCTGGGTGGTGTTTTAAAAAATCCTGCGGGAATGGTTAACCTTACTTCCGCCACTGCTGCGTGTGTTATAAACTTGATCTATTGTCGCACTGTTACCAGCGGAGACTTGTTTGTGGCTACTGTGGCAGCGGATTTGTAAACAAAATCCTGCAGCAGGGGGAGGGGGCGGGGGAGAAGGGGGGGGGGGCCTTGCTGGTTAGCTGTCCAGAACAAAGTGCTCATTTTGCTGCTGCACAAACATTTGCTGCGTTGCACTCAGGTTGTCCTCCCTCCTTGTTATTGGGCTTTTATTGGCTGTAATGCAGCCTGAAGGTTGGGAAGGAGACTTTAAAGGGAAATGCCACCAATTTTCAGAACTGTGTGCAGCCCCAGGACAGGAAGGTCAAATGTTTATGAACTTGCAGAAAACACTTAATGAGTGATGCCACTGAGGTGCACGATCAAGTGATGTGAGATGCTGAGGTGTCACATGTTTATCGGGAATTTGAACCCTATTTGTATGCAGCACCACACGAAACAATCTTATGTGTGAGCGTTCATCGACAGCCTATGTTTTACATCATCAGACGAAAAAATAGGTAACAAGTTTTTTAGCTCAAGGAAGCTGCAGTCAGGTTCAGCTCCTGACAACAGAAATTATGGGAAGCAGAAATTAAACCCCATCTTAGCGGCACACAGACAACATTCAAATATGGAGCAGTGCCAGATTTGATATCCCAGTGAAATCATAACATCAGGGTTAGCGCTTCAGTTTTTCTAGTTTTAGGAAAGTGGATTATGTGCTCATAAGAAGGCCTGACTGAGCTGAGGCACAAAAATAAGCAGTGACATTCCTCCTTTGGTGATAAGTGGGTTTTTAATATCACTTTCTTCTCACTATTCCGCCAGAGTCAGCCGGCGCTGCAGGAAGAAAAAGTGGATGGGTGTGATGTTTGGATGTGTTTTTTGCTGAACTTGTGCTGTTTGAAGGTGTCCTAATGATTCAGCTGACAGCTCTATGGGACGTTCAGAGCAGGCACTGCAGAGGACCAGCAGATGGCGCCGGCACACTTTATTCCGATTGACTAGTCCTGGCACTACTGTACTATGATCTCTAAAGCTTAAACAGCAGTTGCATAAATGTAAAATCCTCACATGGTTTCCTCACAAAGCGTAATACCGTGTCAGTCGTTAAATTGTCTGCCTTGTTTTTGTCTTTCAGGACTTCGGAAGCGACGATGACCGGAAAAATAATCAGAGGTAAGATCTGTCTGTTTAAAAAGTTGTGCATTTGAAGTTCTGCAGAGACAAAGACACGGAAACATAAATTCATTGTCTTTCTTATTGTGGATTGTGTTTTTGCTCTGTCTCTGTGGTCAGCGGGCCCTCTGACCCTGGATCAGTCTGTAGTAGCAATCCCAACAGGTAGTGATGCCGCAAGCTGTAATTTTCAGTCTCTGATTGTATTTGAGAAGGTAGTGTCTTACATTTTAAGGTCTCAAAGAGAGATTATAATCTTAACAACAACACAGTCAATTCTCTTAGTGAACAGTTCAGGCTGAAACGTTTACGTTTAAATATATTTATTTTATATTAATCTGGCTTGTAACATTTGGTGAAAAAGCTAAGTTAAAAAGTGTTAAATAAAATACAATTTTATTGCACAGGAAAGCTGGAATCAACCCTCCAGGTTGATTTGTTTTAAACTTTTAAACCATCCTTACTCCACATGCATTTATTTTCAGCACAAACTCAGCTATAAGTCTGACTTCTTTTTTAGTCAATTCAACAAAACGTAAAGCTGCCAGGAACCTAAAATACAAAAGAAAAGACACAGGTGGCCATAAAAAAGGACAAGTTTTTAGTGACAATTACCCAAAATATTATTTAAGATCAGTTCAACATTGTGAAAAATATAGTTTTCACTGTTCCTAAACAGAAATACAGCAGGAAAATGTGTATTTACATCTAAAGTGATTCTGTCCTGGCTGTTTTTTTTTTGCCTTTTTTCATTGCAAGTCTGTGTAAAGCACTGAAAATATTTCTGAAAATATTACTTTTAAAAACCTTTTTCCATGTCAGAGAAAAATGTGATAGTACGTGGAAGCTCCACTTCAGCAATTTGAACCAGTTTGTTCATCTTGTCTCTACATGATGTCTAAATGAAGTCAGTGTAATCACCGATCAATAGGCCGACTCCAGAGGCTTAAACAGCACAGAACAAAATCATTGCTGAAGGATGACATCATGAAATACAGTACTCCGAAGTTTTACATTAGAGTTTCATCTCAAAGGCTGCTGCTGATATATTTTGTATGATTTGCTTGTGATTGTGCCAAACACCTGGCGGCTGACTCTGCAGCGAATGTAATGGTTCTCTAATGGAAATAAGGTTTTAACAGCAAACTACCTACTGAGGATTGATTTAACATTGTCACAGCGTTGACCTTTTTTAGTGCGTTTCGCAGTAGTTCTGATATTTATGCAGTCTATTTCACTGTCAAAGACCCCTGCCTCCTTGATGATTAAAAACTCTTTTGGCCTGTGATGAGCTGCTTGTCTCGTCCTCAGTCCTGGAGATTCAGTGATGTCAGCGAATCCGGCTCTCTCAAGGGCCATAGAGCATCAGTCTATTTTCTATAATGGCCCTTAGTTTCTCACTGTTGTCAAGGAGAAAAACCTGCTTGGAGGTACTGCTGATTAATGTGACAGATTTATTTTTTAAATGCTTCCTCTCCTCAGTTACATAAGAGAGAATGCATAAACACCTGATCCTGCTCGGTCACATAGCTTTTCTTTCATCAACACGACGTCACAGAAGCTATGATTTGTGTCAGCAAAGCTCTGGCACAGACTCTGTCATTGTGCTCACTGTGTGTGTGTGTGTGTGTGTGTGTGTGTGTGTGTGTGTGTGTGTGTGTGTGTGTGGGTCACTCACAGTTGAAACAGTCATGTCATGCTTTGTCCGACTCAATGAGTAACATGTTTCTGTGGCTCAGTGATTCATCAGCGTGGAGTCTTAATTTAGGATTCTGCATGTCAAACTTGAGGCTGACGCCAAGTAGCGCTTCCACCGCCTCCCAGCACTCGCATGAATGATGGCATTGTGGCCGAGCGTTGCAGAGGGAGTGCTGGTTGCTGAAGCACGCGCTGTGAAGAGGAGCAGAGAGACGGAGCGAGGCGCAAGAGCAGCGCAGACAAGGAGAATTTGAGGAGCGAGCTGGAGAGAAAGCTGTGGGAGGGAGGAGAGGAAGGAACATGCCAAGACAGAGAGAGCGATGAGAGACGTTAAACCAGAATGCGCTGCTAGGGGAGGCGGCAGTCAGTATGCAGGTTTAGAGGATGAATGGAAAGGTGTTCATAAGAAAGAAGGGCTTTTTGGAGGAGAGAGAATTTTATCTAAGGAGAGCGTGAACAGCAGAAGAACCATCAGGATGCATCTGGTCATGAAACCTTCTCATAAAGCCATGTTAACCGTGCTGCCTCACTTTGTGGACAAAGCTGCTCTGACTCGGAGGGAGATCTGTCGCATGTAAGTTTTCACAGCGGCACAAGCAGTAAGATTTTATAGTAGATGTATGGGACGTCTCGTATCAGTGATTCATTTGATATAACAGCATGAAACATTACATTGTTAGGAAGGGAGATCATCTTCTAAACGCGCAGGCTACATTTTAAAGCTTTAATCCTGGTAACAAATGAGAGCATAATGTTCAAGCCTTTTCTCAAGTGCAGCGCCAGTTTGTTCAAGAAAAAGTTATTTTTTCCAGTTTCACGTTACCACTGCACATCAAGCTTTGAAGTTAATTTAAAATCATCAGTCTTCTGCATCAGTTTGAAAAGAAACAATGCTGGCACGTAGAAGAAGAGCTGGAACAAAAGGCCTTGTGATGGTCCCACTCAGTCATACCAGGCTTTCTGTGTGTGTGCGTGTGTGCGTGTGTGTGTGTGTTGAGAGGAGAATGAGACTGTGGTTAAACAAAGCTGCACCCTGTCCTATGTGAGAAAAGACGCTACAGCTCTTCTCCTGCTCACTGCAAGGTCATGACCCAGGGGTGCTGCATCCAACACGGGCAGGACAGGAGAGCAGGTTTTACAGCCTGAGCGCTGAAGGACAGTGGTGATGTAACGCCCGATTCATCGGCAGTCAGCAAACCCACTCGAGTGGAGCCTGTTCATCATGCTGTAAAAACACAGGGCTGTAAAAGTCGCTGGATCAGGTCTCTGCTGACTTTCGGTCACTGATGAGGCCGAACATTTAATCAGTCAGTCAAGAAAGTAATGTTCAGATTAATCGCTATTGAAAATAATTATTATTTGCAGCCTAATTGTTTTGTATTCTGTGGACGAAAATTTTTATTACCATACACGCCTTTTATTTAGCAATTTATTTTCACGTACAAATAATAATGATTCAGTTATTATTACAGTAGCTCAGCCTAGATAATCTCATCATAAATTGGTTCCCTGCACATCGTTCACTCGTGTTTTTATCATTCTGTGAAATATTACAAATTTAGATTGTCTTCTCATTTCAAGCCGTGAGGTACTTAACAAGGGGCTGAGGATCCGGTTCTAGATTAGAGGTAATGACTGTAGAAATAATGTTTAAAATGCTGAGGTGAAAGAGTTGAATTTGAGAATACAGGACAAGGGGGAATGGCATCAGTACTGTCACATATGGAAGAAACACCCGGATAGTTTTATTTTGGAATAGTAGAGGTTGGTTAGCATTTTGAATCCAGGTAAACGGTGTTGTTTGAGCTCATTTTAATGTGTTGAGGACCCGTCCTCTTGTATGTCATGAGAGGAAGCGTCTCGAAAGGGCCAAGGTTTCTGAAGCAGAAAAAAGAGATATGGGATATGGAAGTGGTCAGTGGCATAAGGCATGAAAGCATGCACAGTATGTGTGTGTGAGAGTTCAGATACAAGTTTTTTTAAGACGATCACTGATCATATTTATGACTGGAATCTGGACGTATCCTGTTTATACTGTTAGGAAATTGAAGGGGAATCATTTTCCAAAGTTTATACTCTTGTCAAGACTTCAGTTGCCTTCAATTTATTTTCCACCCCACTTGTTCCCCCCCCCCCCCCCCCCCAGCCTCAGTGAGAGCTTCTTCATGGTCAAAGGAGCCGCCCTCTTCCTCCAGCAGGGCGGCAGCGCACAAGGACCAAAGACCCCGACCCACCACAAACATGCAGGTAGGAACAAACACGCAACCACACTCAGACAAGAAGCTTTGTGTCTTGTTCTTTTTGCTCGTGTTCTCTGCACAAATGAGCTCCAGACAAAAGGAGAATTGTAGCTTAGCTGAGGTGGCTTTTTCCTCTGTGGGTTTGTCTGTGTTTATTCTGAACTGTTACCTCGCTGGGTCTGACCTGAACTGACCCGCAGCTCAGCACCAGAGACGCCCACAAATCATTTCAAACGAGAAACAGTTTGCTTAAAGCTATTTGAAAGGAATGTATTGGCCGTTTCTGTGTATAAGCTCTTTGGATGTATTTAAAAATTGGCGTTTGGTCTTATATATCTTAATATGAAAATAATGAAGATATAAGATGATCAGAGGACTTACATGTTTGTACTTTGGACTTTTATCACTCTTTCCTTTCAGCTTCCTAACTAGGACAGTGCTGATCAGCGCTGTCAGCCGCTGAGAGCTGGATGACGACACCTGTATTGTCTAAATTGCTGCAGATAGTTGTTTTGTGTCATCCAAACTTTTTTTTTTTTTGTTTTTTTTTTTGTATTTTTTATTGGCTCCAACAGATTTAGCCAACTGTTATTACACAATCACACTGCCGCTTTTTGTCTGCACATCAAAGTGACATTGACATTTATCAAAGTCCTGCACAATCTAAAAATAAACTAAACGCTCAGTACAGCCCATCAGTTTAGTTTTTCTTCTTTTTTTTTTCTCCTCGCTGTTGTTCAAGTGTCTGACGTCTCTGTTGAGTCTGAAGTCATTCGGGAACAAACGCAGGACAAAGTCAGAAGTCAGTCCGCACATGACTCAGGTGTTACTCACCGACACCGTAGCTTAGCAGCGCTAGCTGCAGGGTTCAGATTTGTCTTCATTGAGAGAAATCTGCAAACATTTTTCCTCCCACTGGAAAAGAAAATAAAAACGATGAATGCACAATAAGAGATGATGAATGATCAGTTTGTAGCTGACCTTTAAGTTTTTTTTTGTGACAAAGCCTATAAAGAGCGTCTCTGTAGTGAAGCCTGTTACTGAGTAGAGTTATATTCTCTATATTGTTGGGTGGGATCTTAGTAGTATTTTTCAGATCAATAATGGCAGTTTTAGTTACTGTACATATTCTCTGTCTAAAGCCTTCTAATTGGTCTAATCAAACAACATGTTAGAAAAAGACTGCGCTGAACTGTAAGTCATTTTGTTTTCTAATCAATCTTTCTTACTTTCAGGTGATTTACCTCAGCACCTGCAGGTCATGTTTAAGATCCTCCGGTCTGAAGATCGCATTAAACTGGTTTGTGTAATACTTGACTTGACTGTACACGTGTTGATTCTCATGCTCATTTTCAAGTTAAAACCGTTTTGAGAAAAGACTCATCTACTGAGGGTCAGAAATCCAAGTTTCTTACAGCGTCTCTGTTTGTTCCTCAGGCTGTGCGGTTAGAGAGTGGATGGTCGGACCGGGTGCGCTACATGGTTGTTATCTACACCAATGGCCATCAAGATACAGAGGAAAATATCGTCCTGGGAATGGACTTTACGGACAAGGACAGGTAATTCATCTCTGCAGCCTTACATTTAGCACGGTTTAATCTGTTTATTTTATTTATTAAACTCTTTAATCTTTCTGACCCTCAGTAAAAATTGCTCCATTGGGATGGTGCTGCCACTGTGGAGTGATACCAACATACATTTAGATGGAGACGGGTAAGTGTCAGTTTCGTAAAAGCTGGAAATAATTCACGCTTGAATCAGCTGGCAAAACTTTCTGCACAACTTCAGCCAGGTCTGAAGCCGCCTCTTTGCACAAGTCAGAACATGGGGTTTTGGTTGTTTTCTGCCTTGTAGGTTTTACTGCTCACCAGTGGCAGAGGAGTGAATTACAGTCATTTTTCTCTCCCCGTGAGAACAGTTCTTGCTGACCTGTTAACATTGTCTCTGTGTCTGTTCGCTAGAGGAATGTTCCACTGGTTTGTGGCCTGAATAGTACCATGAACCAGCCCCGTCCAGTCTGTGTTTACATCCCCGCTCATCACTCTTCATCTCCATCCAGACTCAAACTGATCCTCCTTCTCCTCCTCCTCCTCCTCCTCCTCCTCCTCCTCCTCCTCCTTCTCTTCTTCCTCACCAGAGGCTTCAGCGTGAACACAGCAGGGCGGTCACATGTCTTCAAGCCTGTATCTGTTCAGGCCATGTGGTGAGGAAATTCTTCATGTTTACCTGGGATTGGTGTTGTGTGTTTGTGGTGTGTGAGCTAGTGTCAGGACAGAGGGGTTATACATCGTCCGCAGTGTAGAAATGTTGTCTTAGACTCTCACATTAACGAGATCAAAACGGTTTGTAGAGCATGTGTACCACCGTCAGGACATGTTGTTTAAGTTAATTAGAGTTTTCTGTGTTTTTTTTTGTTTTGTTTTTTTTTTTTCCATGTCCAGCTCTAATTATTGCCTCAGTTAGTGGGAATATAAATCCCACTTTGTACAATTTTTAATTAGATAGGTGCATGGAGATCCTTTTTCTAGATGTGCACAGGGTGAAGGAGCAGTATGCTAAACACTGAGATTAGCCAAGGTTAGCTCAATAATGGGATCAAGTAGCAGCTCCACAGAAAGGTTGAGAAATGACTGTGAAGACTTACTCCAACATTGAGGCTTTGTATTTGTTAGACTAGTGTGAACTCTTTTCTTAACAAAAAGAATTATTAATTAATGTTTCTGTCATCCCTGTGGGTACATGTGAATAAGAGGGATGGACATTAATCAGAATTCTTCGATGGTTAGATTTGTAAATATCTTACAACATGTAAATTGTTAGACTAGCCATCCATCATTGGAGAGGCCTCCCTACCCAAAATTTAATGGAAACCAGGTTCATTTCACTGCACACAGGCATAACAAAAAGATATCCATAAGTTTGTCGCTGAAAGTCAGGAGGAAAGTACCGTCTCATTAAAACTGAATTGTCCCTTTAACTTATTAGGCCTCACCCATCCACCACATTGAAATCTAGTTAAAATGTTTAAAATGTTTTCTTGGTTTGGTTCAACTCTGGGACATTTGATATTAATTTACCACTATGTTCCTCAGCGTGATGACGCTCCTGTCCAGTGTTTACTATTTGGGCCACAGTTCTCCATCACCACTGTTTGTTCAAAGACATCCTCTTGTATCCACATGCCACCTGCTGGTCACTTCTCAGAGTTACCACTAAAAAAACAAGTCTGCTTTGTTTTCTTTCCTGGGAGCAGGTTTCTTATTGGCTCTGCTCCTGTCACTTTACGTCCATCTTGCTTCTGATCATTTCTGGTGGTCAAGCTTTTTTTTTGCCCTGTGTTGCCACAGGTCTGCCTTGCAGGTCCTCCACAAAGCATGCGAGGTGTCACGCCGGTTCAACTACTTCCCGGGGGGCATTGCCCTCACATGGATGGCCTTCTATGAGAGCTGCATCACCTCAGAGCAGAGCTGCATTAATGAGTGGAATGCTATGACCGACCTGGAGACCACGCGGCCCGATTCGCCCACCATGTTTGTTGACCGGTGAGACCCTGGAGCAGCAAGTGTAACATGACATGTAGGAGAACCAGGCTGTAGTTTTTTTTAGGCATTCATCTACAGTACACACACCTGATTTAATTATTGCTTGTGCTGCAAGAGGACTGAGACAAAGTTTTGGTCTTACCTGAGCAAACAGTCCCTGTCATGTGCATGTCCTTAGTCATGGAGTAGATTACAACGCTTTAGACACCAGCTGTTACACTGTTATGCTAATTTTCCTTCAGAAGGCACCACTGATGTATTGACTCATTATATGCAGGCCAACCGAGCGAGAGAGAACAGAGTGTCTCATTAAAGCCAAGCTACGCAACATCATGACGTTTCAAGACCTGGAGAACATCACGTCCAAGGAGGTATGTGCCAAATTAACACCTCGGCAATGTGTCGATTTGAGATCTGTCTATAATACAGCAGGATAAAGATACACCCTGTCAAATATATAGTTTGGCTTAGAAGTCATTCACCCTGACATTGTGCATAGATAATTCAAGGAGTGCAGAAAACAAAAATAAGTTCAAAACAGAAGTATTAGTGTATGACTCGCTGTGGGGAAATACGCTGTAAAACTTTGTTTAGGAGATAGATTTTTTTCAAAATGCTTTTGATCCTCAGATCCGTAACGAGCTGGAGCAGCATATGAGCTGTAACCTCAAAGAGTACAAGGAGTTCATAGACAACGAGATGCTTTTGATCCTGGGTCAGATGGACAAGGCCACACTTATCTTTGACCATGTGTACTTGGTAAGAGTTTTTACTTTATGCTACCTATGCATAGTATTATATCATGCGTTTACATTATTTTCTTCACTTTTCCTACATGCTGTTACTCAAATACTGTCACACTGCGGTTTATTCTTTCCTCAGTATAGTGGAATCAGCCTTTAATAGCAAACCCCAGGAATCATTCTGACTGAAATGTTTCTGTGTCTGTTCCTCCGTAGGGCTCTGAGTGGAATGCTTCAAACCTGGAAGAACTACGTGACTGCGGGTGAGCCGATACACAGATATCACATTCTCCTGATTTAATACTAAAAGGTGTATTCTTATACAGGATTAAATATATTCTATACATGTATATTTTTATCTGAAAGTTACTATTGTTTGTAAATAAGGTCTTGACACAAATTTTAGCTCAAAAAGCAAAATGCATTTATTTATGAGTTTACTGTGTCGACAGGTGAGATATGCAGTGTGTTAAAGACAGTGTTAGACAAATCTTTGTTAAGGCAAGTGTTCACATGTAAATGTCGAATGTTGCCATTTCAGAAACAGAATTGAATCTAGACAGTGTATTGATGGTACCCAGTAAATGTAGCCAGTAAAACAACATTTCAGACTGCCATATTAGGCTTTGGCAGGCAAAGAATAAAATGATATCAAGTTAACCTGTTGAAAACACAGACATGTCTCTGCATGGCTTTCAGTCGGTAATTTAATCGGCGCAGCACTGATTATTCAATTCTACTCCGTGCACAGAGTAACAGTTAAAGCAATAAACAGGGAAGGAAAAACGAATGCATTGTTCCTTTGGTTGCAGAGTGGGTTACATCCTGAATGTTACCAGAGAGATCGACAACTTCTTCCCAGGGATGTTCTCTTATCACAACGTCCGTGTGTACGATGAGGATGCCACCGACCTGCTGGCCCACTGGAACGACACCTACAACTTTATTGTCAAAGCAAAGTGAGACCTTACACATAAAAAAAAAAAAAGAACCAGTGCTTTTTAGGTGCATTTGACAGATGTGAGTCACAAATGATACAGATTATAAACTGCAGAGACTGTACCACATAACTGTGCTCCAGCAGCGCTTTGGTGTTAATAGATGGAGTTGTTAGTCATCATTTTTAAGTCATCACAGTTTAACCGTCTCACATCATGCATTCTCTCCGAGTACTGGGGCCGTGATCAAACAGGAAACATTTCTCTCCTCCCCAAATGAAAGACACAGCTGTGGGTTTTGCCAGTAACAGAGACAGAGCTGAAATGGTGCAGTCACTCTGGTTGCTATGCAACTGTCTAACCATGCTAACCTGAGGTAAAAAAGGATGTTTGTACAAATAAAAATGGAGGAGCTAAAGTTGAGACATGCTAAATGTGGAGCACTAATACAGCACAGTCCTGACAATCACCACATCCAGTTTATCTAATAATCTCTTGTATTTACCAACAGGTGTAATCATGTAATCGTTAGTCCTGACTCATCATCAAATGGGATATTAATGAATTTCCTTCTTGTCCAATAGGAAGAACAATTCCAAGTGCCTGGTGCACTGTAAGATGGGGGTGAGCCGGTCTGCCTCTTCAGTTATTGCCTATGCAATGAAAGAGTACGGCTGGTCTCTGGAGAAAGCCTACAACTTTGTCAAGCAGAAACGGAGTATAGCTCAGCCAAACCCTGGCTTCATGAGGCAGCTGGCAGAGTATGAGGGAATCCTGGACGCCAGGTAAGAAGGTCTACAGTTTCACTCAGGTTTGCGCTTCGCTCAGCTACCAGCAGTCACCTGGAGGGTTTTATAAAATTAGTAGATATTACGCAAATGCTATTGGCATTAAAATTGTAACACTTCTTCGTGATGCTTTCTATGTGTTTGTCAGTTGTCCTCACATGTAAACAAAAGTATACTTTCCTTTCACAGCAAACATCGTCACAACAAGCTATGGAGGCCTGAAACAGATGAGGAGGGATCTGATGATTTGCAAGCCTCTGGCCACTGTACTGGTGGGGAGGAGACACCAGTGCTCAGAGAGGAAGAAGCCTGGGGAGGCTGCGGGGCGTCTCCCTGCAGGGGTATGGGTCTGGAGATGGAGCCCCTTGACTCGCTTAACTATAATTACTACTTCAGGCGTTTGTCAGACTCTGCACTAGACAGTGAGCCCTCCACCCCAGTGCGGGGCCCCCCTCTGCTGGGCATGGAAAGAGTCTTCATTGAGATTGAAGACGTGGAGAGAGATGCCCTCCTGGAGGACGAGGGTTTCCCCATGGCCCATTTAGCCCTGCCTGGCGAGGGCACGGCAGCCCAGACGTGTGGACGTCTTGACCCCCTGGAGGACATGAGACTGAGACTTGAGTTCAGTACTTTGGAGGAAGAGGATGAGGAAGAGGCAAAGAAAGAGGAAGCTGAGATGGCGGCCTTGGCTCAAACGCCTGGAAATTCAGATGGGAAGAGAGCGGGGGAGGAGGCTGAGAGGACGGAGGAAAGCCGGTTAGGCCTCGCCAACCTGAACACTAACAACAGCAACCGCCTAGCTGCAAAGCGCAGCTGCCCTGCAGCTTTTGACGTGAGTTGAGAAAAAATAGATTTTAACTATGGCAAAGTTATTATTATTTACAAATGGCTTTCATCTTAAAAATGTATTATATATGCAATGTTATTAACATTTTAAATATTCTGCATGCCACTGACCATATACTGTGTTCTGTTCCAATCTTTACTCCATTTAGGACAGTGCTAGCACAGGAAACCCTTTAAAAGTGAAGCCCTCCTATCAGTCCTGTAAAGACTGCCTGCGTCTGCCACAAGGTCGGCGCTGTGACCGTCCAGCAGGAGGTCGTTCCCACCGCCTTAACCCTTCCCGCCACTGCACTGTCCCCTCCATATGCATAGATCCGCCCGGGACAAATTTTGCTTCCACCCCAATTCTGCAGTCTTTGCCATCCCCTGCAGTTGTCCCACCTAACTTGGTCCAGCCCTGTACTCACCTCTACCGCTGTGCCACCTGCGCCCCAGGTGTCCCAACTGTCCCACTATCCACCCGCCAGAAACTGGTCTCACCCATGAGCTGCGAGGAGACGCCTCCTGACCGCAGCTCAGTGGAGACGGAGGAAATGGATGAACCGCAAGGTGACAACGTGGAAGTACAAATATCAAGGGAGGGCACAGGGGCCATCAATGCGACTACTGCTGAAGGTTTAAAATTACAACCTGGTGGTGCAGTGGAGCTCCAGCAGCAGGCTCTGGCCCAGCTGCAAATGCCAGGACTGGGGATAGAATTTGGTCTGGAACTGATGCGCCAGAGAGCGGAGCAGCTTGAAAAGCTGCCAAGCTTGGCCATGGAGGGCCAGCTCCCAGTGGGGCCCCTGCCTTAATGGAAGAGACAGAGGAGCAAGAGGAGGAGGGTTACCACTGCCTCCACCAGGTACACTATGATGGCTGTGGGCCTTTAGATGACTGTCGCTGTGGTGTCGTACCAGAAACAAAGCTCTGTTCTGACCTGTACTGTCATGTCCTGGCCTCAAGCTCCACTGTAACAAGCTGCAACAGCCCTCTGTGCATTTACAGAGTGTCTTGACATTGTCTGCTGGCACCAAGATCCAGATGAGGCTGGTTGTTTTCAACATATGCTAAAGGCTTAAATGCTTCTGGCTGAATTGGGACTTAGGACTTTCTTCTGTCCCTCTTGTTTTCCCTCAGACCTGTCCGGTCTCTTCCGAACCTGCCCGCCCCACCACACATACAGGATCTTCACACTTCCCCACATCTTCCTCAGTGGAGATTAGCGTTATGCTGCCATTTTACCCTCAACAGACAGGTTTGGTGTATTCCCGAAACAGGAGACGATGGAGGTTTATAAGATCTAGTTGTTGTCCCTTTCTGACTCCTGAGAGAGCTACAGTTAACACTTTGATGTTGATGGAAAGAAAAATACCTGGAGCAACATGCTTCTGTCAGTGTACTGTATGTTTTTCAATCCAACTCATCAATAGTATCAAAAGGAGCTCAATGAATGTTTGCCGTTGAGCCTGTTTGATTGCATCCCTCATGTTACCACTGATAACTGAATCCTCATTTAACATCACTTATATTTTCCCTGCTGCAGCTGCTTTTGCATCACTAGAGGGCATTTCATGTGAAAGCATAATCATTTTTTAAAAAGGATGTGAGCATATGTGAGCCTTTTTATGCCTCTTTGAAAAGCGTCGTACCTCGGACCACAAGCATCTCAGACTGTTTTGGTCAAAGACTTTTGTCTCTGCTCAGTGGTTGGTTCACCCTGACCCCACCCCACCCGACCCCCACCCCACCCCAAAGTAATCATGTCCTTTAAGTGTTTGGTTCAGCCATGCATGACTCTGCAGTATCACAAAACATATCCTCAACATGCTTAGGCAGAAAACATATTAAAGTCGGAGTCAAGAGTTTTTGAAATACTGAAAGGATTCAAATGAGTCGTGATTCAGTTTAAGAACAAATGGCATCAGCAAATTGACTGAATTGATCCTTACTCTTTTTCTTATGCCTGAAAGAATGACAGAAGGAATATTTTTCTTTCGTTGGGAGACATTAAAACATTCAGGCGTCAAGAAACATTCATAAACTTAAACATCGCTCTCAGTCAGATGATTTATGATGTAACCAAAGCCATATCATGTTGCCAGGTCCAGTTTATCACCTTCATTATTATAGTCGACAAAGAAGCTCGGCTCAGTTTCCTTTGACCAACATACTTTTCTTACCTTCGTAGCCAGTCTGAATGTGGGTGGTCATTTATCTAGGTGTTAACTTTTTGGTAATTTGTTGAAAAACCTTAGACTACCTTTCCCTAAACCCACAAATATTTGCAAAGGCACACCAATCATATATAGATATAGCACTTGAGCACAACTCTAATATCCATTCACACAGTGCACAGACATATGTCAGATCTATAGCTACGTTCAGTCAGAATCCATTTAAGAACACTAAAGCAGAAATAGAGAACTCAGAAATGAAAAATCTACGAGTTCATCGCTGTAAGAATAATATCATTTGATCTAATAATCATCAGACAGTTATAGTCAATAGCAGCAAATCTTGTTGATAATTTATTGTTTTTGGGGAAATAAAATAAAAATCCAGTTATTCTGACTTTGAAATTGCCAAATGAAAAACTTCCTTTGACACTGTGAAAGTGAAATCAATTGGCAAGACTAGATTTCCTTTATTTTAAATACAGAACAAGTAACCTATCAAGACAACCACAGAGCCTAAGCTTTACAGCTCAACTCTTCTATCCCTACTGTCGGTTAATTCAAGTCTTTTCCTCATTTGTTATTTAAACTTTTCATTTTGTACATGCTCAGAAAAGCTTGAGGCAAATTTTTTAAACTGTTTCGTTAAAGTTCAATCCAAAGTTGCTGTGCCACAGGGTGTTACTCTGCAAATTCCTCTGTTTGGTTGATGTTGTGTTCCTACTGTTTTTGGCACGCTGGGTGTGCTAGAATGGTACTGAATGATGCCTGTTTGTTTGCAGGAAAAGCACATGCAAGTGTTATGACTGTGTTTAATGACCTGGGTGCTTCAGAAGAAAACGAAAACTGTGCAAAGAATGAATGCAAATTATTTAATCATCTTTAATCATGGGGTTTTATTGTATCTTTTTGTAGATTTTGCTTTTCTTTCATTAGATCAGTAGAAACTTAGACAAACAACAATAATGCATCCTCTGTTCCTTAACTGGATCCCAGGGAGCTGCAGGTTTGCTCCACTAGTTAGATTTAAGTAATTAGGTTTTGCCTTTAACCTGTTCTTTCCCTCATGTGGCCATTTGAGCATGATGTAACATAAGGCACTTACAGAAAGTTGTTGACAGCATCTGATGCCACAAACATCTGAAATAGATCCATTTCAAACGGAAAAAACGAACGGAAAAAAAGTTGCAGTTACCAAAAGGTAGTTCATGAATATTTCGGCTTAAACAAATGTTACAAAGTGGAGAGCGTGCTAAAGGCTGTGAAAGAAGAATTAAAGAAATAGTTTGGCATTTTGGGAAATATGCTGATTTGCTTTCTTGCCAAAAGATAAATGTCAAGATTGATACGACTGTCCTGTCTGTATGGTAAATACGTGGCTACTGCTAGCTGCCAGTTAGCTGAGCATAACATAAAGACATCCACCGACTAGCACAACTGAAGTGAGGTGTTTAACACATTATATCTCATTTGTTTAATTCGCACAAAAACCAGTGTAAAACAACATCTAGTCATTTTTGCACCTCTAACTGTGAGATGTAGCGGTGCTGTTACGCAGATTTTGTTTTGCTTTTGGACAAACTGAGGCAAGTTATTTCTCCATTTCTAGTCCTTATGCTAAGCTAAACAGCTGCAGCTTCATATCTACCATACAAACAAGAGGGTGATAATGGTTTTCTCATCTTACTCTTGGCAAGAAAGTAAATACGCCTACTTCCCAAAATCTCAAGCAATTCCTTTAATATATTCTTAAATTGACTCTAACTTAAGCCAGTTGTTCTCAGTATGTTAACGCTCTTGACAGGTGGGCCTGATGAGGGCGCTTGACATTCGTGTGATGTTATGCGCACTAAATCCTTGTGTTTGTGTTCCCAGACCACAGCACTATGTTTGGTTGTTTGCTTCATCTGTTGAATTTGTTTTTGCATTTAAGTGCCTTAACCTCGGCCTTAGCTCTGTCATAAAGCATCACAGGCTTTGCAAAGTTTCTGTGAGTGTGTTGATGGTCTGGTTTTTTTGTACATTACTTACCCTCACTCCCAATAATAACCATGCTCCTTGCAATGTATAACTTGGCACATAATATAATGTATGCAAACACACATAAGCTCATGCACAGCAGCCTCCTCTCCCTCAATACACACATACTTGATGGACTTCCATTTATTAATAGCCTATAATAATATTGTATTTGTTTGATATTGTTGAAACTTGTGGTACACTGTATTGGTTCAATAGCTGGCTGAAGAACCTTACTTGCTGGAATGAGAACTATCATTTACATTAAAACATTAGATAAGAAGGATTTAAGTCTCTGAAATTTACCAGTCTGTATATAGTTTTCTCTACAATTTGCTATTGAGTACATTAGCTTGCAGATGTGGTCAATATTAAGAAAAGCACTGATAATGCTACTGTGTATTGAGAAATACTTCTAATTAAGTTCTCGTGTTTGCACCACAGCAAAAAAAGTATTTTGGGCCATCTCTAATTTAGGCAGATGTCTTCAGGCTCTATTAAAAATGGCAATGATTGTTTTTTTTATTGCATTATTCCCAGGCAGCAGACATCAAACTGACAATCCTACTTAAGGGCCAGAAGAGGAGGACTTTGTGTGAGAGAGGACATTATGACATATTGTAATTTCAAGGGGGAGGGGCAGGCATTTATAGAGTGTATTCAAAGAGCACAAGTCTGCCCCAAAGCATGTGAGTATGAGATGAGTGAAAACTATAGAACATGATAAACCTACCTGGGAGTAAGATTTTATTACGTTGATTGTTTTTTGTTAACTTTTGTGTACTGTACTGTACATTGCCAATGTTCATGTGTAATGCACTTTTTTTTACATTTTGTTAAAATGATGTCCAGTCTAATGTTTATCATGGAAATAAACCATTTCCTCTGCATAATCTGTTTAATTGTTGTGCGTGCATCAAAACATGGACAGCTGATAATGATTGATGTTTGATGAGACTAGAGATTCTATAAGTGAAAAAATATCACGAGAGAATCCACATCTTACATACATCTTTGATGACTTGAAGCGTCTCCGTCTGCCTCTGGCTTCGACTTGCTTTTTAATGAAACGGACAGGGCAGGGAGCGATTTTATTGAGTTAGGCAAATGAAGTCTGTCTGACATCATGGGGCAGGTGACGGCCGAAGGATAAGATCTCCCAGAAAGACCAAAGTCTAACAGGACGAGAGGCAGACAGGGCATCATTTTTACACATCAACCTCAGTAAGTATCTACCTATTCTAATGCATTACCCCTCAGATTTTATATCAGTGTGACTATACTGTTTATCAGATAACTTCTAAAACTGCAAACAGTCAAGTTTTTGAAGGGAAGTATTAATAAGAATAGTCGGTATTGATTGTCATAGTAAATGCTGCAGTAACAACAGGTCAGGAGGAGAACTTAAATGTTAAAAGTGAGTAAAAAGTTCATATTTTAACATCAATGACAGATGAATTTTTAAACACAGCCATGCCTGTATTGTATATAGTAATACTGTTTACATCTGTGGTTAAGTAAATTGAACTATGTTAAACAAGCCACAGAAATTTCTTATTATGACTCTTTATATTGCATAAATCCATCGACCCATTTTAAAGCAACATCTACCGTCATCT